ACAAAAAAAAAGTTATTGACAAATTTAGAATTTAAATTCTACGAGTTCAACAGTTAATGTTCTTAATATTAAAATCATATATTTTTAAAATTATAGATCCACATTTACTATTTATTAGATTTTGATGAATTTTTACATACAAAATATTTGTTAAGAAAAATTAAAAAAAAATATTCACTTTTTAACAATAAAAATATTTTAAAACTTCAAATTAAACTATTCAAATCTTTATAAATAATTTTTCATAACAAGATCCAAAGTAGCATATAATAAACACATGGATAATATTTTATTGCCTTGAATTAACCTTTCCCAATATAAAGTTAATATTACTATTAGAACTTTAAAACTTTGTCTGAAAAACAATATGGTACAAAAGAAAAAAGGAATGCTTCTTATTTAAATTTGGCTTTCATCTACTTGCTTCACATTTAATCACATTTAAAGATGAAAACTTAAAGAGCATGTGATCCCACCTGTGGCATTAAAGTACTTAATCTACTAAAGAGAAACTGAGATAAGACTTCATATAAAGCAAGGTTTCTACACCTGAAACCAACAGGGACAAACTTTTGAAAAGTAGACTTATTTACATTATTCGTAGAGCATAAATGCACACCTGGTTTCATGGTTCGTAGTGACAACTACTTAACTATCTGCTACTGCTACTGCAACTAAACTAATACTGAAGCCAAAGGTTATGCATGACAATTCTTGATCGCCTCCATCCACTATTTTCATCGTAAGAGTATATGAGCCCTGTATAAAAGCAACCCTAGTTAGGTTCGATAAGCAGGCAATATAACATTCTCTTCCAATTCACACAATTGAATATCAGGGAAATGAAGCAATAATTGACAATAGGTAACATAAGTGACTATAAAATCCACTTGATCCCATAGAACAATTCTTTTTATGAACAGTTAATTTTAGATATCTAATTCAAATAAATTGTGTCTTATTCAAACCATAAAGAGTTGATAACCTCAAAGCCACTAAATAGAAAGTTAAAATAACTAGCAATAATAAGAAAGAAAGAACCTTGAACCCTAAATAAAATTATTCTTGTTAGGTTCAAGAGGAACATGCAAAAACATTTTCCGGATACTAGGGAGGCCGTACAACGGCATTATCGTCATCCATAATCACTTCAAATTTAAAATTTGAATAAAAGAATCACATAGAAGAAACTTCATCTAAGCTTCCTTCGATGAAGAACACAATATCGTGAAAGACTGAAGGGAAGTAAACCTCTACAAAATCAGGATATCCAAGTGCTTTAGGGGGTGCAACATATATAAAGCAAAGATAACCAAAACTGAAATTGTTTACCACAAGAGCGTAACAAAATTATAAGTTATGACTTAAAAAAACATAAATAATTTGTTTCATAACAGAACTATTAGAACATATATGATTTCAGCATTCCTTTCACTATAGAGGCACAACAGATTAGTGCTTGAAAATTTTAATGTCTGAAAAAACCAAGAAAGAGGAAGACAAGCACCTCTTTATAAAGGAAAGTTATGCAAAATGAAGCATCATGACAAGATAACAAGATAACGGGAAAGATGACTTACGGGAGGAGTAATTCCAGGTAAAGCTTGGGAGTGAGAAATCACAAAATCACCATAAACTGGGCAAGAAGTCTCTTTACAGATGTCATGGGACTCTTGGTGGACGTGTAGGAATAAATACTTGACGTCAATCACCAACTTTCCACCACTGATATTTTCATCTGCAAGAGAAAACTCACTGAGTCATGAGCTCATATTCCAGTACTATGTTAATTGCCTTTAACTTCTTACGGATATAAATGACTAAATACAAGGTCTTAACTTCAGATAAAAGAGGGGAAGGATTAAAAAAAACAAAAACGACAACGACAGAATGCGTAATTAGCCATTACCTGTAGTTGCAGCAATGCTGAAAGTGGTCTCTTTACCTCCTTTAACAGGATAAGGAGTTATATCTACTCCACTGACCTTCACAGCATAGTTGGCCTTCTTATCTGCATTATTACACCAAAAACAGTGCGGCTATTGGAATCAAGATTATCTTTAGCACAGAATATATCTCAGAAGAATCCTTCCTTTGAACAGAAAAAACATGAGCAATGTAACTTAAGATAGAGACTACATACTTTGGGACAACGATAAGATATTGCAGGATTGAAAATGGATGAACAGTAAATACAAGAGTATTTATTGTGATTATGTCATGCGGTCAATTTTTAGTAGATCTTATAAAAAACCTCCTATATGTTTGTAGTTCTGCACAATTCAGTCATGTGTTTGGTTACCAATTGGATGAAATTTGTTTGCATTTTGCCTCTCTGCTCTTATCACACCACTCAATCTAGTTAGTTACATAATAAAATATTAAGAACATATATAGCAATGAAAACATACAACTACATATGCATATGTAGATCAAAACTTAACCACTTTTGTTTAATTAATTAAGAACAAGACATAATTACAAAACTTTACTTACATCAAATTAATTATAAAATATATTAAAAACATATAAACCAATTGAAATGTTATATACTACTCCCTTCCAGTTCATGTGAACCTATTTCATTTTTGGTCTATTCCAAAAAGAATAAAGAATGACCCCTTTCTAAATTTGAAAACAATTTAACTTAAACTTACAACTCTCTACCTTAATGAGAAGGGTTTTATAACCACACAAATACTCTATGTCTCTTTTTGACTTGTTTAGGACCACAAACACCAAAAGTCTTACTTTTTCTTAAACTCCGTGTCCAATATTGAAACAGAGGGAGTACTGTACAAAGTGCACATTTGTACCAAGCTTACGGTTCAAGACAGTACAAGAATAGTAGTCTTTTTATCCAAAAGAAAATGACGCCAGTATTATTGTGGAGGGTGAAACAGTTTTAATTACATCTGACTACAATTTTCTTAATGGTCTTTAAATACTTATAACTATAATTAAATGTACTTAATTTATAGAGTTATTTTTTTTAAAACGAAATTCTAACTATAAGCCTCAACAACAACAATAAACTCAGTGTAATCCCACAAGTGCGGTCTGGGAGGGTAGCGTATATGCAGAACTTACCTCTAACCTTACCCCACCTGCCTTGTGAAGGTAGAGAAACTGTTTCTCATAAACCCTCTGCTCACAAAGGGAAGAAAAATAAGCAGTAACGGATTGATATCGTAATTACATAAACCTCATAAGTTGAAATACAATTGAAATACGAACAACAAATTAATAGATATTCGCATACCAAATTTCCCAAAAATCTGCATTCAGAAATATAAATTAATTAGGGTAGCATAATAGACGAAGAATTAACTCACTGCAATACTGGAAGTCGGTGGATTTAGCTGAAGACAGAGGCAGGAGAATACACATGGAGAAGAGGAGTGCAACGAGTAGCTTCACTGGAACCACCGCCATTGATTGTTGATCAGAGAGAGAAGAGCAAATTAGCAGAGTGAAGAGTCCGACAACTTTTGAGAAGTGATTGAGAACAGTGAAATAAGACGTGGAGGTTTTAATTGTACGTGGCACTGTAAATAACATGTATGTCGACACGTGAGCAATAAAAACAGATATTTTTCTACTACTTGCTAATGCCAACTCATTGATGCTTCCGATATTTACTTTTTAATTTATCACAGTGCCGGCTCCAATATGAAGCAAGTAAAGCAGGGGCTTTAAGGCCCCAAATTTGGGGCCTATTTTTTTAAATAATATTTTTTATTCCTATACACTATTTGAAATTTTAATACCTTTAATGTTCATGTTTAGCAAATTATCCGGCATAAATAAATTTTGTTTGTAAAATATATACAATTCACCTTAAAAGGCTCCCAAATCCATTATTTATCCCTTCAATCAAGGAATTTAGTTACACTCTTTTTCTTTTTTTCTCCTCTTCTCTTTTCTTATTTTTCTTCCGTCGGGGAACTTGAAACTATTGCTTTCACCAAAATGTACAACGTAAATAGAGCCTTGCATATAACATCATTAGGCAAATAGAAAATTAGAAAAGGTGGAGATTTCTATCATCTAAATTGTCAGGTAATAATACTTGCACTGATTTTCCATGTCCAGAAAATCAATAAATTATTTAATCAATTTATTGTATATTTGGATGTGGATGATGTAGAGATACTTCAGTCGAGTCATGTCTTCCAAATAAAATTTTATCAGTAACGGGCTATTTAATTATTTACAACAAATCAACAAAAACTTTATCGCTCCTAACTAATAAATGATTCATGACGTGTTTTCCAAATAAACTTTTATTGTTTAACGGTTATGTGATATGTAATCGCACTTCAAATTGTAATTCCTGAAGTTAAATTGCTTAGTTCACAACGAACGCCAAACGCAGTACTTTCTGCAGGTAGAATTGTGTCGAGGTAAAGTACTCTTAATAACAATATCTGCTGCTTCCTCTTTATCTTGGTTTTTTGTACAAAGCCATCTATTGATTGGCAAAAGAAACACTACAACCATCTATTAATAGTAGCATTATATCTAGAGAATTTCCCACTCAGATTCAGAAATTCTGAATCAGAATGATCATTAGCTGACAAGTTCTTTGTGTTCGCGTTCGTGGCGTGAACTTGCATTTTTATACATTATTTTTACGTTAAATGCAATTACAATATCATACAATTTAAATACAATTGTTATACAAGTTTTATACAATATGTCTTTTGTATAATTTGTATCGGATTTATACATAGTAAAAACAAATTTCATACAACTAATTATATATTATACAACTTATCTACAATTTTCATACATTATTTCTATCCAGTTAAATACAACTACAATAACATACAACTTAAATAAAAATTTTATACAAAATTTATACAATATGTCTTTTGTATATTTTTTATCTGATTTACACATAGTAAAAATAAATTTCATACAACTAATTATATATTATACAACTTATCTATAATTTTCATACATTATTTCTACCCAGTTATAAACAACTACAATATCATACAACTTAAATATAATTTTTATACAATACTGTTCAACTTTCATACAATAGTTAAATTAAAAAAATATATATAAACAATATAATACAATTTTCCTACAATTTTACTACAATTTCGTAAATATAATGTATATCATGTCTTCTTCTTCTTCTTCTTCGAGTTTCTGTGACGACCCAACCCGTCGTCACCTGTGTTACCGCCCCGTTTTCCCCATTTTCTATTTCTTTATGCTTCATTATCAGTGTTTGGTGTGAATGAATTTATTTGGATTGGTTCTAGAGGGAAATGAGACACTTAGTCTCTTTAAGGAAGGTTTGTTTTGGAAAAGTCAACCGGACGTTGACTTATGTCTTAGAGGGGTCGGATATGAATTTCGATGATTCGGTTAGTTTCGGGGGATGATTTGTGACTTAAGAGTGTGATCGGAATTGATTTTGGAGGTCCGGTGTAGAATTAGGCTTGAATTGGCGAAGTTAGTATTTTGGCGAATTCCGGTTGATAGGTGAGAATTTGATCCGAGGGTCGGAATGGAATTTCGAGAGTTGCAGTAGCTTCGTTAGGTGATTTGGGATGTGTGTGCAAAATTTCAGTTGATTCGGAGGTGTTTTGGTAGGGTTTTTGATCGAAGGCAAGTTTCGAAAGATTTGGATGAACTTAGGCTTGAATTTGATGCAATTTGAAGGTTTAGGTGTTATTTGTGGTGTTTTGATAATTCGAGCAGGTTTCAATAAGGTGTTGGATCATGTTTGTGTTTTTGGTTGAGGTCCCGGGGGCCTCGGGATGATTTCAGATGGCTATCGGGAGTTTTGAGCCTTGGTGAATTGCAGGCTTCTGCTGGTACCTGGTATTTTCGCACCTGCGGTTATGGGACCGCAGGTGCGGTTTCGCAGAAGCGCAGGAGGAAGCCGCAGAAGCGGTTTTGGGTCTTGAGGCAGTTTCCGCAGAAGCGGAAGGGTGGACTGCAAGAACGGTTTCGCTGGTGGGGAATTTGGATCCGCAGAAGCGGCCGGGTGCTTTAAGTGGAAGTCCGCAGAAGCGGATGGATCGAGCGCAGAAGCGGTCCCGCATAAGCGGAAATGGGACCGCAGAAGCGAGAAGGACTGGACAGAATATTTAATTGGTCTTCTTCGCGAATTTTGAAAGAGTTAACATATTTCACTTCGGACTTGGAGAGTTTTTGGGCGATTTTGAAGAGGGTTTCAAAGGGATTCGATAAGGTAAGGATTCTTGAACTTAAACCACGATTTTATGGTGCAAATACGTGAATTTAGACTGAAAAATTAAGGAATAAGGGTTAAAAATGGAGGTTAGGGTTTGAAACTTAAGAGAGTTAAAATGGGAATTTGAGGGGTCATTTGAACTCCGATTTTGGTGTTCTTTATATGTATAGACTTGTGGCGAGACAAGGAATCCGTTGATGGTAAATTTTCTGATTTTCGAGAAGTGGGCCCGGGGCTCGGGTTTTTGCTAATTTCGAGATTTTAACTATTTTTCTATTGTTTTCGATTGGGTATTGTCCCATTATAATATTGTGATGTATTCGTTGTTGGTTTTGATCAGATTCGGTACACGAGGAGGTCAATTCGAAAGGCAAGGGCATAGCGAGCTAGGACTTTGGCCGGCTTGAGGTGAGTAATAGATGTAAATGGTTCTGAGGGTTTGAAACCCCGAATTTGCACATTGTAGTGCTATGTTGAGGTGACTTGCACACGGGATAACGGGCGTGGGGTAGAGCACCGTCGGGGATCGTGACTTGATCCGTCCCGCTTAATAAAAATTATTACCTAATTGATTGAAGCTCAGTAGATATCCTTATAAAATGGATTAATTATCATAATTGGGCTTCGTGCCTACTGCTTGAATCGTTCAGGGATTATTTTTATTGGTTTCTTACCATTTGTTTTACATATCATCGATCTCAGTCCTGTTAGTTAATACTGTTTTGCAAACTCAGCCATTTTTTCTCAAACTAGAAACTTATTTAATATTTTTAAATGAAGTTTGGGCTAAATGTTTCTATATTAATGTGCCCGAGAGGCTTATGTGATTTTGGACTGAGCATGGGATCGGGCTGCACGCCGCAGCGGTATGATACTGATATTGGTATGAGGCTGAGGGCCTAGTTGATGCCACGAGATGGCTTATTATTGCGCTTGGGCCGTAAGGGGCCCCTCCCGGAGTCTGCACACCCCCAGTGAGCGCCGTCGACGATAAATAAATGGAGCGGGCTACACGCCGCAGCGGGTACTGGAGAGTACCGGTCTATGTGTTGCATTGCATACTATTAATTGTCATTTATTTACTTATCTGCTGTGATATTTCTATAATTGTTTTCACTGTTTTACTGGATTTTATGCTGCTAGGTTCAAGTTGCTGTATTTATAGAATTACTTTATGCCTATTCAGGATTTCTTATTCTCAGTCTTTATTTATGTTTATTACTCACTGAGTTGGAAGTACTCACTTTACTCCCTGCACCTCGTGTTCAGATTCAGGTGCACCCACTGAGGCTGAGTGAGACTTTCTCTGTCGAGCATCATATTCGGGAGCATAAAGGTAGCTGCATGACGTCCGCAGTCCTGATCTTCCCATCTATCCTATTTATTTTATTCCGCATTCCTTCAGACTATTATGTAGTAGGTTGACACTCGTATATTAGAGGCTCAGACTTGTGACACCGGATTCATCGGGCTGTGTAGTAGTATTTCTACTTGGGTTTTCCGCATGTTTGAACTTTATTTCAAATATTCAGTATTATGACTTAGTAATTTACCTGTGTTAAATAAATTCATGAGTTTTGTATAAATAGTCAAGGTTATTGAATTGGTCGGGCTTGCCTAGCAATGTGTTGGGCGGCATCACGACCGGGGTTGAGGTCGTGACAAGTTGGTATCAGAGCCTAGGTTTTTTGGTCTCGCGAGTCATGAGCCGGTTGGTAGAGTCCCGTGGATCGGTACGGAGACGTCTGTACTTATCCTCGAGAGGCTGCCGGACCTTTAGGAAACTTCATATTCTTGAAACTCTTGTCGTGCGGCCTTGTTGAACTGAGAACTAAATCTTTATTATTCTATTCTCTCACAGATGGTGAGGACACGAGCTACCGGACGTGATGGACGACCACCAGTGCCACCTACTGAGGCCGCCAGAGGCCGTGGACACGGTCGTGGTCGTGGCAGAGGCAGAGTAGCTGGGGAAGCACCTGCTGATCCACTAATTGCCCCAGCTCAGGATCAGGCTCTAGCTGTGGGTACTCCAGCAGCACCTGTTCAGGCACCAGCTGTGCCTATCGTGATTCCGGGTCTTCAGGAGACCTTGGCTCAGATATTATCGGTCTGCACTGGCCTGGCTCAGGGGGTTTCAGCTACCACAGCAACAGCAGCTACTTCACAGGCCGGGGGAGGCAATCAGACCCCCGTTGCTCGCACACCTGCGTAGGGAGTGCAGGGACTACAGACACCAGAGGCACCTCCAGCTCAGCAGGTTGCACCAGCTCAGGGCTTCGTGGTTCTAGCTAT